TGACGGGGTGGTTCCTCCCTGGCTGGCAAAATACGAGGGCTTCGTCCCCGCTCTGTGGAACAACTCAGACGCCAACGCCATCGGAATGGCCCTCTACTCGCAGAGTCCCGCCGTCGATGCCCGGTCCTTGTTGATGTCTGGGATGCGGCCTCCTAAGTACCTTGACAAAGAGGACGTGGATGGCATTTTCCGGAAACTTCACGACTCGCTCCGAGACGAAGTCCTTGACGGCAAATACCGTGACACGGTCGACAACAACGTGGAAGAGTGGGTAGCAAAGGCGATCCTGGTAAGGGGTCTGGCCTTCAACGGGAGCTCCGTCCCCGAATTCTTCGAAGAATATGAGGGATATGCGGCTGAGTGGGGCAGACGCCTAACCACCGCAAACTTCAACGCCAACCGGTGCGGTTTCTACACGTCCTACTACATTCTTGAAGCCCATATCATTGGGCTGAGAACAGGACACCTTTCTCCGATACTCCCCAACGATGTGTCCGGGGAGGGATTCAAGTTCCAGGTGGGGCTGCTCGCACAGCACTGCGGGATATTGCAGGCCATGCGGAGAAAGGCCGGATTCGATCCTGCCGCGCGCCTCAAACGGGCTATGGACACGATACGGGAAGGCATTAAGAAGGGGTATGTCTACACCCTCAACGACCTCAGCAGTATGGACGATCTGATCTACCGGACGTCCACCGTTGCCTACGACACCTGCTTGGCCGACCGTCCTCAAACCCAGGATGACATCAAACAGGAGCTATCCGACCCTGTACCAAGGAAATACCGCTTCCGACCCCGCGATCGCCATCGACCCGGAATTCGCCTTACACCAGGCCCCGGCGTGAAGGACGAAGACGAGCCCGACTTTGCTGGATCAGCGGAGGATGAGCTGGGATCGGATGGTTCTTCGCACGAAGATGACGAGAAGCCTGACGACCTTGACGAGCCCATGGGCGACGACGAGGAGGAGATCCCTCCCCCTCCGCCACCGCCCCCGGCTCCTCCTGCGCCGCCTGTCCCGGTAGAACCGGAGACTCCCGTGGTGCCGCATGCAGGCGTCATTTCTGGCGATGCTGTGCCAACTCCTCCTCCTCCTCCTCCCGCTCCCATTGCGGCAGGCGTTACTACGACTGGGGATCCGTTTGAGGAAGAGGACATGGCCATCAATACTCGTGTCCCTGACACCGAGTCCGAGCTGGAGGGTGAGTCCGACCAACCCAAGGCCAGAAGGACATCTCGCGGTCGGGTCCCCGCGCCCGAAAAAGGGCAGGGGGGCGTTCAGGTCCCGCCTAGCGGGCAACCCAGCTCTAAGAGCATGGCCCAGCCTGCCCGCCCATCCCCGGTCCCCGCGAGAAGCGGTGTGGAAGGTGGGGAGAGAAGGGGCAGGACTAAGGGTTTCTACACCCAGAAGGATCCTTTTACCGGCGAGGACGCGACTCCCCGAGTTCGTCTTCGATCGGGCGGTCCCGGAACTCCTGCGTCCCCACCACGGGATGCCACCGGTTCCTTGGGCGGCCATCGCGGCTATGACCCGCGTGATGACGACAACGACGAGTGGGAGCTTCCCCCGGGTGTGCCTCGGACCACTCGTGCGGCAGATGAGTCGCGGCCCCGCCGAGATGACGATCGGTCAAGGACCGCGCTTGGGGCCCGCGAGGATCGTCGTGGTCCTAAGGGTGAGGGGAAGGGTCGAGGAAAACATCGACCTGGCAAAGGAGGACGTGAGGATCCCGGCCCGCCCCGACAAAGGGATGATCGTGGCAGGGACACCCGCGGAGGCCGACGCGATGATCGCCGACCTCCTCCACGTCATGAGGAGACCTCCGAGAGGCGCGGCCCGGGGCGAGATGAGCGCCGCGGACGTGATGACCCGGGCGATGACCGTCGCGATCGCCACCGGGACCGGCGCAGGGATGACCGACGTCACCAATCAGATCCCCCTCCGCCTCGCCGACCTCCGGCTGGCGACCACAATAGGGGTGGTGGTGAGGATCGCCGTCGGGATGGAGGAGGTGATCGAGGTGACCGTGGTGGACGCCGAAGAGACGACGCGCCCAGGGACCGGGAAGAGCCTGGTTCAGGGTGGTAGACGGGTGCCGCAATCAGCATCCGCCGGTAGACGGGTGCCGCAATCAGCATCCGCCTTAGAAGGGCGAGGATAGTACGTGTGTCGCCGACAAACGCGACCGCGCCGGTCCTCCTCTCGCCCGTGCAGCGCTGCTGGGGGTGATGATCTCCATTGCCCTGTACCGCTGATCCGGCGTTGCTCGTGTCCCTCCCGCACCGCTGCCGTGCGCGCCGGAGACGGTTCCCCTGGCGATCCTGTGTGAGGCTGTGACCGCACTAGAAGTGCCGGGCCGGCCATTGCCAGTTATTTTCACACCAATTTCGGAACTTCCGTTTCTAATTTCCTCCCAACTCGACTACTCTTCCAACCGCTCCACGGCGTGCAGTGAGGCGCGGTGATCCAGATAGGATCCCCCTCCGCATGGCATCGTCCCATGACGACTCATGAACGGCACGAGAGGAATCTTCGTCTGGTTCCTCCAATATGTCTTTGTTCACTCATGTGGTCCACTCGTCAAATAATCCTGTCGCCCCGATAATTCGGGGTGGTGGCGGGATTTTAACTGGGGCCCAGGTGATGCCGTTTGGCTCACCTCTGAGTTGACACCGGCATTTTTGGTTGGTCCCTTTCGTCGTGAACTCAACTGTCTCGCATCCTTTCTCTCGTCCTGATATCGGATGAGGGGGGTGTGTTTTGTTCACGTGTTGTTTCATCATGTGGCAAAGCGGCCGAATGGCCGTTTGGCTCAAGTTTAACCTCCCGTCAGGTTAGTTTTGGTAGCACGGCACTCGCCATAGCACGGCATCTCGCTGCGTCGCCGAGAAAGGACTCTCGGCGCTGGGGTGGGCTGGTGCTAGGAGGTAGGTGGTGCTGCGGCAGGACTTGCCTGGGCCTGGTTAAGGTGATCTTTTGCAACTTGCTGTTTAACCTTCACTTCAACCACCTCTTCCTCAATCATCACGTCCTTCAACCTGGTCACCGGCTTCAGTCCACTGAGTCGTGAGTCCGGGTTCTTTGGGTTCTTCGTGGATTACGTGAACCCTTTTTGATTCCCTGGGCAACGCCCTTTCCGCCCAAAACCGCAGACTTTAAAGAAGGTTTTAGACCTGGTTTCCATTTACAAGGCATACCCACATCCATTTGGGAGGAAGCCAGGCTTTAATGTGGATCCCCGTCCACATTAGACATGCCTCTGAAGGTCTGGGGATACAGTTGGACAAGATCGCTGGCCTTGTTTGTTATTGTTCCAAAGGGGCTCTTACAGGGCCCCTGACCAACATTCATAACCCGAAATGCAGGGGATGGACAAAGCCCACTTCACGCCTGGTGGTGTATCAACCATTGCTCATTGGGTTTCATCCATCCCTAAGCGCATGTTGTCGACGAACAGAGTTTGAGCCACACACTCAACACACTCACACAACACCGATCCCCTTTGGCCATTTTAGGAAGGGTACACCTCGCGTTTTTCGTGTTTTAACTGAGGGGTGCAGTAAGCCCTGTCCAAACCTCTATAATCAACCTTCATAACTAGAAAGCCCCATTTCAAGGAGGGTTCACCTCGGGTTTGTGGAGTCTTACTGAGGGCTGCAGTACGGTCGGTTATCCACCTTGACGCAACAGCCCCTTGGGGTGGACTCCAGGGTGTGTCGATCTCGCGGAGAAAAGCCCATGGGGTTTTGCCAAAACCGGGCCTCCAACTGACTGGGGGTGTGGTTTGGAAGGAAAAGCGGGAAGTTCCCATTCGTTTTGTGCTTTTGTATGTGTGCGTGGGCGTGGGGGGCAAGCGCCACCTGGGAGAATATTGGTCATCAGCCAAGGGCTGAAAAGGGAGTCGAGGGAATCAAGATGGATTGCACGGTAGTTGGTTCCTTTTGGGATGTTTCCCTTCAAAAGCAAATCCCAAAGAGACGAAAGATCAGATCTGTTTGCCACGCACTCTCCCGAGTTTGTCCAACTGAACCTGTGAGGATCCGAGTGTTATGTTGGTGACTGGACAAAGGGAGGATTTTGAGACGAGTTCCACTGGAGAAAGCCACAGCCAACCAATTCGATGGGCGTCCAACTTAAGCCCGCTGCTTGCTTCTGTTTTATGGTGGTAATCCCTCGGACCAAAGAGATGAATCCAAGTGACACGCCTAACATGACTCTTTCCCAGGAAGTGAACGCATGTTCACCATCCACTCTCCTTTGAATTCGAGGGTGCTTGTTTCTCCTTTTTCGATACAGACCCGACATCACAAACTTACCAAACTGAGAATCGTAAAGTATAATCTCCAGTCAACTCAGCAGGTTGGGAGGCTTCCCTGATTTGAGACAAACTTGGATTTTCAAGCTTCTTCTGACTTCCCGCGATCCTCTGAAAACGGCTGTTTAGGTTTGGACCATTCCAGTGACAAACAGCAAGTTTGGACGTTAATTGGAATCCACTCAGGAAAAGAGCTTTCAGTGGGTTCTAGCTATAGGCCCACCTCCGTTCCCACTCTCCCCAACCAACTTACCAGCTTCAAGGGGACAACGCCAACCAACCAACCAACCAACCAACCAAACAAACAAACAAACAAACACACACAAAGATGCACAAACAAAACCGAACCAGTTCAATCCAAATCCAATACAACTAACTTGCCATCCCTTTTCCATCCAGCTCAAACAACAACTCACTTCCTGAGTTGAACTTTCGTCACTTTTGTAGTGGCAAACAAAACCCAGAGGATCCATTTACCTGCATACGGGGTAACTAAGGGAACCGCCCTTCAAAAACCAAATGGAAAAAAACTGGCTACCTACCATATCATATGGGTAACTGGGGTCCGGGAAAAGTTTGGCCAACCAAAACAGAAGCAAGAAACACACCAAAAAACCGAACAAACCGCGCCAAGGCATACCCACTTAGCCCATCCCGCAACTCAAGTTCAAGGAAGCTGCAGCCATGGCTCAGGCCTTCAGCGAGAAGGTGCGCAGCGGCGGCTTCGTGGGATACACGGGCAAGCCTTTGACGGACGTGCTCTGCATCGGCGCCTTGGCGATCCATGGGAAACGACACAGGCGAAAGGCGGCAGGCGGCATTTGTTTTGGCAGATGAAAGCCTTCCACTTAGATGTGCTTTGTTGTTTTTGGTTGGTTAGTGGTTGGGTTTCCGAATTTAACCCACAAGTTATTCACCTATAGCAGGGGGATGCCCAGTGGTCCTACATACCCCAAGCTCTCCAACCCTGGCGCTTAAACTGAATGGGCCCTCAAAGTTGATGGGCCCCTAGCCGCCATCAGTCTCACCAAGGCAAACCCGACAGGTGCTTGCCAAATGGTGTTGATGTCTGTAAGCATAGGGTAGTTTCATGGTTTTCCGTTTGCTCCCATTTGAACTGTGACAAGAAGCGTTTGTTGGCAGCTCCAGGGTTTGCTTGCTCGGTTCATTTATGTAGGGGGAACCCGCCGACAAACACGTTGAATTCTTTCCCGCGGAAATCCACCAAAGGTCTTCGTGGGTGTGTCGTTTTTCCTGTCAGGAGCCCTCCTTTTTGTTGACAGTATATACTAGCTTTATTTGAGTCCATAAACGTGACATCCTCACCCTCTAAATTGAGGGGAAGCCACCCGTAAAGGTAATTTTGAGAACCCCTGAAATTTCTATTCTACGAGGACTTAGTATATCGGGTGGGAAGAATCAAGTGCCCGACACCTAGCGAAGCCTCGATGTCGGAGTGAAGGTCATTGGGAAGTGAATATTAGATTAGCGCAAATCCGCGCCTCCAAGATGCTTGTCTCATGGCGTTGATCCTGCTTGGACGCCTTTTGCAGGCGAGCTAGGAGAAGTTAGGAGGCCGGAAGGAGCCGACCCGTACGTTTAACATCCACCCATATATACATGTGAGTAGCATTCTAAAGCAAGGGTTCGCGAAAGGGGTGTCCCGCAAATCCGGATCCCCAAACCCTTGGCAGCAAACAGTTGTGATTATTTGTTCGGCAAAATATGGGTGTCTCTTTTGGAGGGATCTTTTGTGGTTGTTTTAAGGGAGACCACTTGTTCTAGCCCCTCAAGACTCAGAGACATGACTACCTGGAAATACCGGAACCCTATGAAAGGAACCTCTCGAAAGGGAAACCTAGGCTGCATACTTGATTTATTTCCCACCAAAAAGCCACTGGAAGGGTATATAGCTTTTATACCCCTGTTTTTTGTATGGGGTTACTTAGCCGTTTGAACCCAGTTTCCGCACTGATTTCTCTTCTTTACCCCGAAGCATTCCCTTTGTCACCCGCATTGTCACGTTTCACTGTTTTTGGGCAATCGAGTTGGGCCATCCCTCAACTAAGCCTTTGCGCTTGCCCAAAATAGCGTACTCGCAAAAGGATCGCGATAGGGCCTGTTGCACAAACAAACTGCAGTTGTCCTGTGTCCACAAAAGCGAAAATGAGCTTCAAGCCCATTTCTCAATCCGCAAAGGCGACGAAAAAGCGATTGCTTCGTCATATCCTCTCCCGTGATGGGAGCCTCTCAGACCACAACAGCCCCGCGAAAATGGGTCGGGAACACCGCTCATGTGTAGGATGTGAACAGATGCATGCGTGCGTGCGTGCGTGCATGGTTGAATGGATGGATGGATGGATGGATGGATGGATGGATGGATGGATGGATGGATGGATAACTAGTTTAACAAATAGTTTGAGAATTAGACAGAGAATAGATAAGACATACCTAGATGTTTAACATTATGCAGATAGGCAGACAGGCGGATTGGGATATGCAGACAGTCAGGCATGGCATACACATGAGCCATATCAGCTCCCGGGTAAGTGAAGCTTAGTCAGGGACAGTCCCAGCCAGAATTAGGTGCGGCCGCCTTTGTAGTTCTTTGCATTGGTTTGGGTAATTAGACCATTTTAATACCAGGTTTTGATTTTGGCTCACATGGCTTCACACACATCATCGACGCTTTGATAAGGCATCGGCGGCTCTTACCTGGCGGTGGAGTTTGTGCATGAGGCCCTGCGTTCCTCAGCAGAAGACCTGCCGCGAAGCAACAAAAAAGGACGTGGATCACATACTAAAGCTATTGACTCATTCCTTGAAAGGGGTCTGTCTGAAAATTAGGGTAACCCTCAAATTGAGTGCTTTAAGGGAGACAGATCTTTTAAATGGGGTTGTGGGGTGCGTCAAAACCACATCGAGTCATGATCATGCGAGAATCATGTCTGTAATGATTTAGTCTCTTACATTGCAGTCCTAGGTAGATTGGGAAGCAAACGGCAAATCTACGGCAGGAACCTGCAAACAGTTTCCTTCCCAAATAGGAGAGTCTGTTGAACGTAGTGGTTTTCTGGATTCCGTGTCACTCCGTGCCCAATGAACCAGTGGCACAGGCAGGGCGACCAAGCCCACGTTGGTTGACACCCCCTGCGGGTTCCGTTCAAGTGGTGGCAATGTTGAG